CGCCGCCGACTACTGGATCGCACAGCTGGCGGGCGCCGCCGTCGGTGCCCTCCCCCGCGCCCGCCCGCCCCGCCCGCCTCGGGACGACCGACCTTGTGCCGGCGGCGTGCAGGCACGCTGCTTGTGCTCGGGCTGCTGGTCTTCTGCGCCAAGAAGGCGCGCGACAACTACATCCGCAAGCGCTCCAAGCTGCTCAACGAGGTCACCTCCACCTCGGCGACCGTCCTCTCCGACCTCTCGGACCGCAAGGCGGGCGCCCCTGTCGTCATCGTCGACGGAAAGTCGATGGGTGAGGCTTGCGCCTTGCGGCAAGGCTGCCCGGGGGTGGGTTCCCCTCACTCCCTCCTCCCTCCGCACACAGGCCTCGCAAAGGCGACCGACTCGTCCGACCCGCGCCACTGCGACGAGTGAGCGGCCTGGCCGCTGCAGGCCGTTTGGGTTTTGTGCGGACCGCGGGCGGGTGGGTGCTCGCACCCCGCGCCGCCACGTATGGGGCTTGGTGGGTGGCTTGGTGGGTGGTGGGGTAGGGGAGGGGAGCGCGGCGCAGAGTTGTCTGCGTAGCCAGGAGAGGGTCTGTAAGGGAGCAGGACCGCCCAGTGTGTGGGGGCTGGGGCGCCGGGACACAGGACGTGCCGGCGTGGGTCAGGGTGGGCGGGGCGGCCGGGGAGATATTCCGGACGGGCTCAATAGATGACAATATACACAGTGTAACACGGCCTCTCATCTTGCATGGCAATACTGTCTGCAATGCTTGCATAGTTTCTTTTTTGAGCGCCCTCACATAAACGATAGAAAGCCAAGCCGTGTCGTGTGCACAGTGCAGCTACCCAAGCCAAGCAAACAGCAAACACCGCTTCACAGTGACGACTGACGTCACACTCACAGCGGCTGTGTCACAGCACACAGGGGCACTATACACAATCGCGCGGGGCGCCGCTCCGGGGCGACCCCACGGACCCGGCCGCCCTCCGACCGCACTGCCATACTAACTACAACTAGGACGTACGGAGTCCTACTGAGTGAGTACTGTACGGGGTGTGGACCCTGAGTTGACCAGGGGTTGTGCGCTGGGCCCTCCTGCTCGGCTCCAGCCAGTAGACAAGTCTTGTCATCAACAGAGTAGAAGGATCTGACCTCGGGGCCGATGTGACCAAGCGCTGGTAGCGTGGTTTAACCTCAAACCCATGGTCTCACAGTGTGCCGGCAGTCGCCGAGCAGTGTCGCTCACACAAGCCGCAGCACAAGTGACTGAGGGCCAGTGAGGGCGAGCCCATCGCTGTCACAGCTGTGGCAGCCGCACAATAGGCTGTGTCAACTGTGCAGAGTGTGTGAGCAGCAGAGGAGCTGCTCTCCAGGCTTCTGTCGCAAAGAGCTGCATGCCACCGAAAGCGCTGTCGAGGTTCGCCGAGCGCGGCGAAATCGGGGGACACCGTCACCGACGAGCGCGTTGGACTTTTTGCTAGCAAAGAAAGAAAGAAAACAGACAGGCCCAGAGTAATGTGTGAGTGAGTATTCTTGATACGAAACCACGACGACACACACCAGTCGACTCGCATCGGTTGCCTCCATGAACGGCGCCCACACCACACCTGGCTCCAACGTGGACACGCCCATAGCTGGGGGACACTACTAGGTCACGCATGGCATCAGAAGTTTTATCTCTGGGCCCCGAAAGGCATCTCTAGCAGCGTCGTTACGCATGCGCCCTCCGCATGCGCCCTCCCCTCCTGGGCGCATGCGCCTCACATCTCGCCAGAGCATAAGCTCTCGGTGTGCCACACGAGACGAGCTTTTCGCCATCGCTGCGAGCAGCAAGCCGCCCGCCGCAAACAGCCGGAGGCATCGCCACGGCACTGTCTGCGCCGCGGTCCCGCACTCGTCGACGAAGCTCCCCCCGCGGAAGACCGCGCGTAGCGACGCCTTGACGATCGAGATGAGCGCGCTCGAGGCTCGCCCACCTACTGCCCCTGAGAGTTGGTTATGAGTGGGCTCGGCTCCCCCCCTTGGGATCGAAGCTTCCACGACCTCACACCCAACAGCACAGGTGGGATCAGAGAGAGACTCCACACCGGACACCGCCCGGGCACAGACAGACTCCCTACCCATCGGATTGCACAGGGCCCCCTCGGAGCAGCCCACACACAATCACGCATCGGCAGAATTAGAGAGAGAGATTTTTAGCAATACCAAACAACTCTAACACTCACACGTAATTTGGGGCCTGGAGCCCTGTTCACGCGCGCGCGAGACGTGCAGACAGGGTTGCCAGGTGAGAGCGAATGGCGCGGTTCACGCCTCGCACAACAGAGAGAGAGATGCGCTCTGCATGGTGGGACATAAAAGAGAGCGAGTACTTGGGCGAGTAGGCCGTGCGGTCAACGCTGCCGCGCGCGACTTTGCGCGTGAGGCGGCGCAGCTTGAGAACGGCGGTGGGCGAGAAGCCGCCGCCGAACGTCTCGTGGAGCAGCAGGTTGAAGTTGTTGCGCTTGACAAAGATCGCGTCGTGGTAGAAACCGCGATGCGCCTTGACGTAGCCGTGGCCGGTCTTGTGGTCGAAGGGTTGGCCGGGCTGCCCGCGCGCCTTGCAGCCCATGTTTAGGCGGCGGGCCTTTTCTTCGGTGTTGCCGAAGGCGTAGGAGTGGCCAACGGAGGCGGGCGTGCCGCCACTCGAGGCGTTGCCAACGCCCGGCGAGGAGGTCTTGAGGAGGGGCGTCCAGAGCTTGATTTCATTCACGTCATCGTTTTGTTTGTCAGAATTAGTGCCTGAGTCAGGCAGACAGCACAGACAAGGAGAGGAGAGAGAGGAGAGGAGAGGAGAGAGGAGAGGGGAGAGGGTGAGGGTGTGTGCACACGTGTGGAGAGGGAGGGTGTCTGTAGTGGGCTGTAGTCATACTACGTGGTTAAAACCACGCGCCCCTCAGGAGCTAAGGTAGAGTGTTTGGGTGTCAAAACACACACACACACACACACACACACACACACACACACACACACACACACACACACACACACACACACACACACACACACACACACACACACACACACACACTGCTCGTTCTCAGGGCAAGAATGTCCATGCACACCGCCGACGCATCCCACGCGCCTGTGAATAACGTCTGGGAACGCTCCAGAAGATTTTTATCTACCCTATGAACCGCCAACGGCGATTCGAACCCAGGTCCTCAGATTCGAACCCAGGTCCGCCGACCATAGGTCGAGCGGCTGACATCGAAGTGAGCCGCCGATCATATGTCGGGCGGCGGTCTTCGGTTCGAGCGGCCAATCCTGGGTTGGCGGCTGTGGGGAGTGAAAAATCGTGTGTCGGAGTGATGCCACAAGCGGACTGGCGTCGTGGAGGTGTAAAAACATTTTTGTGTGCGTATTTTATTAAACTTCTTTTCTGGGCTAACGAACCCCTGCCACATTGTGAAGTGGGCAGAAAGAAGGTGTGAACAGACAGGCGGATCGAGTGTGAAGAGACGCCATGTCATCGGACCCCAAACCCGTCGGCGGCCAGTGGCACAAGGCCGCGCGCGGGGAGTTGTCCCCCCCCAAGGGCGCGAGCGAGGAAACGCTCGTGCCTCAGCTGTTCACGGCATCAGTGCCGGACCCGCGTACCGTGCAGATTGGTAGCGGCGGGCCTGACAGCAACAAGCGCGCACAGCCCGGCGCGCCGCACTGCTTCTTCCAAGAGGAGCAACTTGCACCCCGGGACTGGACCATTCTCGGGGACGGGCCGGAGAGGCGCAATACTCTCACCATCCCGCTCGGCTCGAGCACCATTCGCGAACGCCTGGACCACTTCTGCCCGATCGTCAAGGAGGATGCGACGGCGGCGGTCGCCGCGATTGAGTCGACGTGGACGGCCTTCCGATTTTACTGCCCATGCGAGTGCGCACCCGAGAGAGACATCTCGAAGGTCAAGATCCGACCAGTGCGCGACCCACGATCCGTACCGGTGTCACAGCCGGTCATGCCAATGCTATCCACTGCGCCTACAACGCTACCCTATGCAGCCGACCTGTGGCATCGACGCTACGGGCATATGCCCGCGTCGACTATGATGATGTTGCCACATGTCACGACGGGGTGTGAATTTAAGCTTACCCCGCAACAAGCTAAGCGCCATCGGGACTCATGCAGTATATGCATACAATCCCGAATGCGAAGGGCGCCCGAGACAAAGAAGGCGCCCCGTTTTGAGAAGTCGCGCGCCCCCGGCGAGCTTGTCCACTCGGACCTACTCGGACCGCTCCCCACGAGTCTAGATGGGGGGTATCGGTACCTCGCTGTTTTTGTCGACGACTTCTCGCGCTACATCATGGTATATCCGATGCGAGAAAAGGGTGAACTCGAAGTCCAGTACGCCCGATTCGAGCAAGACATGTCGGAATACTTCATCAGCCAGCGTCGCCAACTACACACTGATAATGGTGGGGAGTTCATGAGCAAGTCGCTGGCCGAATACCTCACCACGAACGAGATTAAACACACCACCAGCTCTCCATACTCGCCGAACCAAAACGCCATCGCCGAACAGGCGATGTGGCGGCTCTGTTCGGTGGCGAGGGCGATGCTGCTTGAATGCGGACTCCCTACCTGCCACTGGGCAATGGCGCTCACGCAAGCAGCGCTACGACTCAACATCACGCCTCGACGCACGATCCGAGCCGGATCCAAAATTAAAGGCGCGAGCCCCGACCCAAGCGATGTGGCCTGGACCACCCCTTATGAACGTCTAAAAGGGCGCAAGCCAAACGTGCGCTTCCTGCGTGTGTTTGGATGCCGGGCCTGGGTACTCAACGAGCCTATCCAAGGACGTGCCAAGCTCGAGTCAATCGCGACAGAGGGATGGTGCATCGGGCCAGCGCGATACTCGCGTGGAATGGTCATTTACATCCCCGACAGCGAATCGCCCAACGACTTAACAAAAGGCAAGTACAAGATCACCCGGAACATCCGGGTAGACGAGTCGTTCACGCCTAAGGGACGCGTCGACAGCGGGCCATCACTAGCGCCTCCGATCGTCGCGGGGAGTGAACGCCCCCAGGCAAAGGACGTGATACTCTTCCGAGTCCCTGCCAAAGCAAAGCCTGGTGACGTGCTCGATGTCACCTCGCCCAAGACGGGAAGAAGCGTGCAAATACGTGTCGCCGAGAGGATGTACCCAGAAACATACTGGACGGCGTACGACACGACCATCCCGAACGCCGACGACGCTGTCTTTGGCACAGCGCAATCAATAATCGACGCGAGCGCTGATGGAGCCGACGCTGGGAGCACCACTGCACCCTCGCGGGGCCTTCCCACAGAGGGGGTGCTAGTCGGCGGCAAAAGCAAGCAGCTCAAGAAGATATCCAAGCGCGCTCGCGACAACGCCATCAAGGGTGGCCCCGTCAACAGCCCGTCGTCTGACCCGACACTTCCACCAACCTGGGTGACAGCTGTTCCAGGGGGTGGCGCCCCCGGGGACGATGTCACCTGGGCAACTCCGGTCCCACCGCCCAGGGTGACCGCTGTGCCCGGAGGGCCCAAAGGTACTGACGTGACTTGGGCGAGCGTCGCTGGGCGCCATGACAGCCAGCAGCCTACACCCCAAGCCTCGGCTGAGGGGGTGGACGGCGCGCAGCTCGTGACTGCGAACATGACGCATACGATGCGCATGCACAGGACAGACTTCGAGGAGCTCAGTGAGGCTCTCGAAGACGGTGACGAGGAAGCGATCGAGCAGTTCATCACCAAGCAGAAGATGTTACGAGGCGATGACCCCGACATCACAT